ATGACCTTGGGGACAGAAGAGGATATTTTCATTTGAAGGAGAAAGCTCTAGATCGCATCAAGTGGAGGAACTGTTTTGGAAGAGACTGTGAACCTGTCTTCTTGACAGATTACAGATGACTGACTGAAATGAATGTATTGTCTTTTTGTCTTTTACATACCAGACGATGGGTGAAGTCCAAAATAAGCCAAAAGAAGAATGTATTGTTGTTTGTAATTGTTGATGATGTGCCTAAGCTGTGATTGATAATTTCACCCACTGTATTTGGTAGTTCTAATGGTGTATAAGTGTCTTTTGTCATTCTTATTTGTTTGTAATTGTTGTTGACTTGATTGTTTCTTTGCAATCAAGTCTTTTTATGAGGATTTCTGTTTCCAGTCCATATCAGACAATGGATCAATGAAATTATGAACCATGTATGTATGTTTGTAGAGCCTGCCAGTGTGAGCAGTAGTCATAGAGCCTTTCTTCTTCTGTTAAATCTGAAAAGAACTGCCCAAAAATGATCTGTACATATCTTACACAATTTGTTTCGATAAAAACACAGGTCCAATAATCCTTTTTGCACTTGAAGCACACCAGACATCAACTTTTACTGGCTGAAGTGGGGCTTCATGGGTTACATCCAAATATTTGCTCACAATTTCCAGGAGATCCATATTTCACATAGTGTCATACAGAAACACCTGTTGCTCTAAAGTATAGCGAACCATGTCATGCCAAAATGCTGACTAACTGTTAACTGGGAACAAATGGCTCATGGTGCTGATACCTACTGCCCACCGCTGACAAATCGTAAACTCCCATGCATGAACTGCACTTACAGACATGTAACATAATACTGTGTAGACGTATGCAAGTTAATTATTTTCCTTCATTCCAAACATTATCAGCCATCAAGCATGCTGAGCCATCAGCAAAATTCACATGTGCTTCGTGGCCAGCGATGCACCGATCACGGTGAAGCACAGAGCCATGACCTTATTAATAGCTTTAAGAATGTTCCTGTACTTTCAATATATGAAGGGTCAGCTTCTTTCTTTCACTTGCCATGCATTCACCATCAACTGCAGATTCCGTCAGTCATGGCATTATAATATGAAACTGATGGAATGAATTCTGTTAATTTAGTCAAATTAGCTGAAGAAGTACCTCCCCATTGTTTATCATATGCCAATTTATTAAAGTTGTTATCAGTGTCACTAATTATTTTATCAAATAATCCAACCAACAAACAGTTTTCTTCACAGAAAATAACTTTGTTGGTATGAGGAATTTTAAATTGAGTTATTATTTCTAGCAAACTTTGAATATTTGTGTAATTACTGACATCTTGTGGCTTAGAAAGCCACACAAACCACTTACCTAAGTACATTATTCCTCTTTGAAGGAAGAAGATACCTCATGGATAAACTGATCTATTATTTACCACTACTATATTCTGAAATTACCTTCCTTACTACTGAACCAAAACAAATTCTCTTGTTAACTTTCAAGCTTAATGAAGATGATTAATTATTCATGATATTGTATACTTGAACAATATATACATCTTTGGATTAAAGTGTTTTACTGCACCTGTTAGAGTAACTCAAAAGGGTATAATAAATCTGAGATATACTTCAGAAAATTTGTTCTCGAAAACTATAATACAGGAACCCAGCAGGTTTTTATATATGTAGTAATTATTAAGTACTAAGGTCCATTTCTCCTCCTCCTCCTCCTCCTTTATTCATCTAGAATTAATCTAAAAGTGTGAATCTTAGAGACAGCTGGTAGTACTCCTTGGACAGGTGATCAGCTTCTTACAAGGCTGCTACCCAGACAGAATTACAGACACAGAAAATGTGTAGACATACATCCATACCTCATGTGGGATTTGAACTCATGATCCCATTGTTTGAGCAAGTGAAGGCATTTTGTGCTTTAGACTGCACTGCCACTGTGAATGGTGTTAATTGACTTATCTTACATAATTAAATTTACATTTTTTCTGTATAAATACTTTATTATGATTGCTTGAGGAACATAAAATTAATTAAATGGTTTCATGTAATGAATACAAAATGGCAAATTACGGCAAATATTACACATTTGTTCCACAATTGTGGTGAGATGAAAAGGATTTTTATATTTACTCGTACTTCCAGATGACTGCTGATTGTTATGATGGAATTATTTTTGGACCTGTTTGGTCCCATCTTTAGTATTTCATTTCTGTGCACTGAAGTCCAGATCTCTTCCTAAATGAACATTATAATGTTACATTTCTTAATTCACTGCTGTAACTGCCATACTTAATAACCCTTTGCTGGGCCACTTAAGTTCGTTGTCTCTTTGAGATGTTTATACCTGTTAGTGTGAATACCTTCCATAAACTAAACACATTTCAATCTGTAAGCATGGGTGGGGACACTAACTTTTATTATATTCAACTGCATAAGGTGTAGCAAATGGTTAAATCTCTTAGAAAAATTCTTCACTTAGATCCATAAAAATAAATAAATAAATGAATAAAATAATTATAAATTGTCTTTATTGTACCTAATATCCAGCATTTCCTTATTTCTTAAGAAACAGAATTTCTGTGAGACTCACATGTTAAATACATATATTTTCTGTCACATTGAAAACAGCCATGTGAAAAGCATACTGTAAATGTTTCTACAAAGTTAGCAAAAAGAAACAGAATGTAATATACACTGCCATCCTGAGATGCATACAGAATATGTGAAATTGCATCAGTCATGCTTGAGCATGGATACTATGTACAGAGACATTTCTTAGAGTTAATACATTTTAGAAGCTGGTTCATAGTCAGTCATAAACATTTGCAATTGTGAGCTGTGATAGTCACAAGTAATCATCATTGCTATCTATTGGCCTTGCCAAACTGAAATCAAGAGCCTCATCTGAAGTCAGGAATCTAACATCCGAGTCATCTGCCATACACTGCTGCCTGTGTACACGCCTCCTGCAAGGATCAAGCAGTTTTAAAAATCTTTTAAATAAAATATCATTATTTGCATTCAACTCTAAATATGGTGGTTGTCCTACTACTGTCATGACATTTAACTAATTCAGAGTCCATTAAGAATATTGTAAATTTATAATTATTACTTCCAGTTAGTTTATCCTCGGTGACTCTTGCCTAAATATTGAAGTAAGAGACTCATTCTCCTCCACACCAAAATTCTCATTCACAGGAAACTGTTCTGTTTGCAAGTGTGAGAAGAACATTTGGAGAGGAGCTATAATTAATGGATGATGTAATGTGGTGGACATGCTGAAGTAGGTAAGTCAACTCCAGGATCCCATTGCTACTATTAACAGGCACTCCTGTGACTGTACATCATATGACTTTCCAGTGAAGAGTATATAAGGAATGGCAGGAAAGGTCCATGTATTCTTAGACCTCAGAACTAGAAAAAATTAAATATTTACCTCAAGTTTCTTCAGGACAGCACCCCTGAGTATACAGTGACCAGGGGTACTGGATGGGACATAGAGATATCTTCAGTGAAAAAATCTGCCACATGCCACTACTGTGATATAGTTGTCAGTGACTCCCTCTACTGATGGAGCTAACTCACTATTTTCCATCTGGTACAGTATAATTTTAGGGAAAATATTATCTCTAAGACATAGTTCAAATGAAGATTCAGTCTTCCAGTAGCAACTTCAGGGAATAAGGCATAACTCACATATGTTTAACAACCTCTATCAATGAGCATTTTCCTGAAATCATTTCCACAGACAGTAACTCGTAAATGAAGGCCGCACCATAGCTCAAGTGGTTAGTCACTGGCTTCCCACTGTGGTGGCTCTGATTCGATCCCGGGTCTGGTCAAGTGGGATTTGTGGTGGACAAAGTGGTGCTGGGGCAGGTTTTCTCCGCGTATTTCGGTTTCCCCTGCCAATCTTCATTCCACTAATTGCTCCACAATCACCCTCACCTATCATCTGGGACTGGTACAATACGCCAGAAGTGGCCGTAGTACAAGGGACTTAGTCCCACCCCACTAGGAATAAAAAAAAACTGGTAAATGAAGCAATGACAGATATTTTATGTACATCTAAACATAAATATATTAATCACACTGTGGAATCTCAGAAAATTAAATGACAGAAAGACTGGCAAACGAAAACAGGAACAAAAGAACTTTGTTATCTTAAACTAAATATCATAATACGGGACTACAGTAACAGAAAAGTTACTGATCACAGAATAATATAAACTGCACTGGAAGAAGAAAATAAAAGACACAGTTAAATGTAAGTCAAAACACCAGACTTGCAACACAAAATTGTAATTTTTGAGATTTTTATATAATAAGAAAATTTAATATATATTTGTTTTGAAAGCTGGTAAATGTTCAAGTTCTCTGAATGTTTTTTTTTAATTCGCTTAGTGGGGGGTGGAGTCCAACTGGGTCCACTTGGCATGGCGGCCACTGATTGACCTATTGTAGCCTGCCCCGGGTGATTATGATGATGGAGAATTTGGTGGAATGAAGATTGGCATGGAAAGCGAAGTACTCAGAGAAAACCCGCCCCAGTGCCACTCTGTCCACCACAAATCCTACTTGACCAGACCCGGGATGAAACCCAGGCCACTGCCATGGGAAGCCAGCGGCTAACCACTTGAGCTATGGCGCGGCCTTCTCTGAATGTTACTGGGACATCAGACTCAGATTATGAAGCTCTAGAATACTGATCTCATGTTTTCATCATGCTTTATTCTACCACTTTTTTTTTTTTTTTATATTATTAACTGCATGTTTAGATGTTTATTAGGGAGAGTGACTTTTGGTACAGAGACCACTGCAATGAAAATATGAAAGAGACTGAATGATACAGTATTTTCCCAGTGACATATTCTGAGCACAAGAGTTGTGTGGTGCAATCAACATATCAACATACCACATCAGTTACAATGTGGATCAAAATTAAAGGACTGTGCAATAACTAGTTTTAAATAAAATGAATATTCATTTAATAAGTAAGGAATACCTGTTTCTCACAACAAAATAAGTAGCAATTGCTATGGCAGTAATGATTAGTATTACGGCAACCAAAATCCCAACAATTACTGATGAAGACAGAAACTCTTTTCGTCTAGGAACTGGTCCTCTCCTTGCTTGCATCCATTTCTGTCCTGCATAAAACATCAAAATTAGGTGTCAGTTGGAATATAAATTGAAACTTTGAAAGCATAAATTAAATGCTGTGATTCATCCTTTGAAAAGTGCTATTACTAGCCTACTTTCCTTATTCTGAAAAAATAAAACTAGCCTTATATGATCTCTACGCTGTCTGCGTCTCTGTGAAGCCCTTCTAATAACTTTTGGATGCCTGAACTAGTCTTTATGAGACTTGGCATATATACTACATCATCTCAACTGCATATTTCATAAATCCCTCCCCTCAGTCTGTATGTCTATATGTGTATCCCTCCTATCATTGCTAGGCAAAGGCTAAGTAAATTGTGTTCCTCCTTTCATTGCTGAACAGTGGCTGGGTAAACATGTCTCTTAGGCAATGAACACATGCAACACTAGAAGAATTGTTGGACCCATATATTTGTGAGTCTATCTGTGTGTGGGAACCTCCCACATACTAACACGCAGTTTCCCCGGTCTAACAGACAGCACTCAACTCCTAGTCAATATCACATTGCTGCCAACGCTCGTATTTATACTGCACTCACAATTGCAACTGCAAGTTTAAGCTCTGCCCAGCAAGCATGGTATAAAAGGCGGAGCCCAAAGCTCACAATCGTCAGTCATCACATTCAGTTCAGAGCGATCAGTCATCAGCTCTTCATGGCACAAAAGACAGCTTCCGCAACTCCCCAGCAACCACGTTCTGCTACCAGACAGCTAACGTAGCTGCCGCAACTCTCCAGCAACCACACTCTGCTACCAGACAGCTAACGTAGCTGCAGTAGCTCTCCAGCAACCGAGCCGAGACAATGGCTCAGTCATCATTCGCACCGCAGGCAGCTGTTCCTACTGGCGCACGCAGCACCACATCACCAGCCGGACAAACCAGCTGAACGGCTGTAAAGACTTGGTCTACTACAAAGGAGCAAATTCTGCCAGCGCACTCACGGTGGAACAAACAGCGCTTTTCAGGGCCAGCCAACTTTTGAACATCGACATTCCACATAGCTTCGCAGCTATTCTGTACATTCAATTTATACAATTTAATATAAACAACTGTTACAGTTTTACGTGGTTGTCTTTTAGAACATCGACAATCCCACATGTGTAACTCCCTACTATTGTTAGGTGACAACGCAGCAATGATTTTCCTGTGGCAACAAAGAATTGCTGGAAGTCTCGTTTTCTATGCAGTCCGTGCATGTTGCATCAAAGGAAAGCAGGCAATTAGTTCTTCCCAGAACTTCTTGTTGTGTTTCTTGAGGCATGTCAATTATTAATATTTTACAGTGGCGAACCATGTTTTGAGGTCAAGTCTACTTAAAGGATACCTGAAGGTTAATATATCTTGAGTGTATATTCAAATGTAATCAACAAAATTATAGTTTATCAGGCATTATTATATTTATCCAAACAACTTAAACAAAATGTACCAACTGCAAATCAACTGTTCTAAGACAAAATGTCTGTGAAAGCCAGCTTGTAAGAGGAAGGACTATCTTCCTGAAAGTATGCAACTGAATGTCACATTTAAGCGGTTGGCACTTACACTCATAAAGTCCACAGGAACAGATATCCTGATCATGATTTTCTCAGTGTTTCTCAGTCCATCTAGACAAATGCTGAAGCAGTATATTAAAAAGCACTGTGAGCATGTTCCAAATCATTATTCAGAGTAACCTCATCATTCAAAACTGTGTAGCCTGTACACTCGAGAAAGCATCATCATATGTAAAAAGAAATGAACCAACAATCTGGCAACCCTGTACATTTCATAAGAGTGATTAGCGTATTACAGGCAGTAATGTCACTTTTCCACAGATTACAGGTATGAGAATGTGCAGCATGGAATCATGTAGTATGTAGAAAATTAATATTTGTGTTGCTGTAAAGCACAACAAGAACATACTGCATATCGTCCTTCACAAATACCACTTATCTATTTCTTAATGTCACTGTTTGTTGTACGCTCCAATGCTAGATTCTGCTGACATGTACAGTGCTATGGCTTTTGTCTTCACAGTACTGAATCATCTAAATGTAAGTCTTGCAGTTCTTTACTGAGTTCATAGCATTGCCTGCAAATGCCATTTGCATTAAATGCTATGACTTTGAGTGGCCTATGAATTCTAGCAGCCATTTTGTTTCATTAAGTTAACTAATATTTTTGTAATGACCATTATTTTGTCTTTTTCTGACACAGCTTCACTGAGCTCTGTCATGATCTGTTGCACTACAGTGGCGACTGTGTATGAAGCAGATATTATATGCATATGCACATGCATATATGTACATAGGCCTGCTAATCATGTTAATTATTTCATACTCCAAACATCTATTTTCATTAATAAAAAAAAAAATAAAGCTATCCCTGTAACAGGCCATGAAGGCCCATTGGGTTGTGAGACGTTGAGGTTCCCACATTATCTAGATAATCGGCTCAAAGATGGCGGTAAGGTTGTCAGCCTTACGTGCCAGCCGCGCTTTACTCCCCAGGAAAATTATTTAATTAATTCCTGGTGCTCATTTCTGTTAGAGGCTGAGTCGACCCCAGGGCCATAGTGCGGCCGGAAGGATTAGGTCAATTGAAAAAAAATCAAATGACCTTATCGGGACTTGAACCCGCGACCTTCCGGCTTGTAGCATAGTGCCTCAACCACCTACACTACCGCGTGCCCCCTTTATGTTATACAAATAATGTTTATTCTCTTGATATCATTTTGCATGTTAGGCAACACTGTAAAATACTGTGACATAACTACTTAATCCTTGTCTATTGCATGGTAACGGCTGGGTAAACACGTAATAATGCCCAGCCCATTGCTAGGCAATGACAACCATAACAATTATAAACGTTGTTACAAAAGGTGTTTTGTGTGCTGTCCAGGCTGAGTCTATATAACTAGCCCAAATAAGCCATTGAGCATGGAAAAAATATAAGAGCCTTAATCTTGGTGGTGGTCAAGCTTATGACCGTTCAAGTGGCTAAGCTGCCATTGTAGCATAAGATATGTAAGATAGGCATGATCTGCTTTGCGAAGCCTGTACTGACAGAGGACTTCTGTATAGTGCAAAAGGAAAATTTTTCAGTAACACGCTGCATATGCTATACGTACATCTGACAAAAGGCCAAGCATATTCTTGTCAGAGAGGATGTTACATAAGGACTATTACTGCAAGGATTTGGCTGAAAAAGATCTCTGGTCATGGGGTCTCAAGGGGCTTATTGCCAAGACAAAGTGATGGGCAGTAAACTGTGAGTCGTAAAGTAACTTTGACTTTGACTTTCAGAATGAAAGCAGTAAGGGAAAACACATCTTTGAAGCCACTACCATGCCACAGCTACGTGAAGACATAGCTAACTCTGAAGATTTAACATTCTGTAGTGAGAGTTAAGTGTGTAGACTAGTGGTAGAATTATAATTACCTGCCATTCTCTCTTGGGAAAAATAATAAATTACTTTTGTTTGTTCACAATAAAAATAAACATATAACTATGTTCTTCCTGATATATAATATATTTAAATGTTATTACCTCATATCTGAGCTACTACCAATATTTAAATTAATATGTACTCGTATTTCTCACTTATGGAAATTCTGGCTGAAATTTTAAATCAGTTATTCAACACTGCAAACTTCACATGTACGGTAGGATTATGGAAGCACATGATGATCATTTCTTTGCTGTTATTACAACACACCTAGAGACTACCAATAATCAAATCAGATTACATTTTAAGATTAATGACTTCTGGAATGTGATGCTATGTAGTTTTTGTAGACAGGTACCAATTTTTTGAGGAAGCTGCTATCTCCATCATTAGGGTAGAAGTTTCTCTTAAAGGGTAGTACCTATCTATCAAACTATGTGGTGGCATGTACTAGAGGACAATACTATTTATAGTAACCTCTAGAATAAACTCAAATTTCTTAATGTATTTATTTAATGTCCATTGCACAATATTTCTTCAAAGTACTGCACATGTAATAATAAATTTCACAATGACAGTTTATGTACACATAACTAAATGAACAGTAGTTTGTGTTCTGTTTATAATATGCCTAAGGATTTTATATCAAGTATGAAAGTTGTTTAACAAAATTACTTAATAAAATGCAGGAGCCAATGAAATCATTTCCAGGGCAAATTGTGTCCACCATAGCCATGAAGCAAAAGTAAAGCTATCCTTGTAACACGCTGAGGAGGCCCAAATGGTTTTGAGATATCAAGGCTGCTACATTTTCTAGACTGTCAGCTCACAGATGGAGGTCAGATTGTCAGCTTTACACACAGGTCACTTTTTACCTCCAGGAAGATTCCTGGTACTTATTTCTGTTAGAGGCTGAGTCTAATTTTAATTAATTCGTTTTGTGGCAGTGGAGTCCAACTGAGTTCACCGGCATGGCGCCCACTGATGGGCCTATTGTAGCCTGCCCTGGGTGATTATGATGATGGAGAATTTGGTGGAATGAAGATTGGCAGGGGAAACCGCAGTACTTGGAGAAAACGCGCCCCAGCGCCACTTTGTCCACCACAAATTTCACTTGACCAGACCCGGGATCAAACCCTGGCCACCGCGGTGGGAAGCCAGCGACTAACCGCTTGAGCTATGGCACTGAGGTTGAGTCTAACCTAGGGTCATAGTGAGGTTGAGGATTAGGTCAATTGAAAAACCCAGTAACCTCATTGGGAATCAAACCCACAACCTTCTGGCTTGTAGCATAGTACCCCACCATAGCTATATATCAGTTACATATTGGACGTTAACTCAGAAATTAGAGACGTATGAGTGAAGTAATTGCAGCCTACTTAAGAGCTAAATGAGTTTATCCATGAAGTATATCTGGATAATGCTAAGAAATGAGGATTCAGTGAGTAATATACTGAAGTCATTTGAAATATATGCTATTTGTTTGTTTGTTTATTAATGTTTTCTCAAGTATACAGGCTATTAGGCTATACATATGACATAATAATAATGTGAACGATAAATTGGGAAGACTGCAGAAGGAATTGGAAATGGCCTACAGGAATTTGCCTGAACGGACTAGAAAAACGAAAAGAATTTCATCAGAGGATAGCAGGCTGCAGGGACAAGAATCAAATCTGGAACTTCATGAGGCAAAGCATGATTACTGACAAATTAACAGTGACATTCAGTTGTTTGCTTAATGTAAGGCAGATCTTGTCATCTTACTCTATACAATGACACAGAAAGCACAATTCCCTCTTCGTTTTAAGAAGTGAAGACCAGTACACTAAACATAGTATCCCTGCAGCTCTACCTGTGCTTGCTCACACAGTACAGTATATTGTGCTATAAAACATTAAAAACAGTGATCATTAGACTGCTCTAAGTCTCATTTTCTTTCAGCATTTACAATATATGCTTAGGATTTATTTAATGGAATGCAGCTATTAGGTTATTGCATGTGATATGTTAATGTCCTGGTTGAAGCCTCTGGTAAAAAGGTAAAGGTGTCCCTGTGCTTAACTAATTAAGTGCTATGCCATGAAGGCGTATGGAGGAGTGGCTGTATAGATCCATATTTTCTTGGCCTCGGCACTAGCTGGAGGCAAGTGATCAGCTTCATGCCCCGGCTATTTACTGCCAGGGAAAGTGCCCCCTGTACCCATTGGATAGGAGGCTGGGTGGGTCCCAGAGCAGGTCTGGACAACATGTAGAAGAGAAAATTCTAGACTCTATCAGGACTTGAACTCCAACCCATGGCCAGTTGCTATACTGACTGTGTTAGCCCAGCTCCCTTGAAACCTCTAGCGTGAAGATAAACTGTAGCCAGGTACTGGAGAATGAGGTGTATGAAATTATGTTAAATGTGTTTGCTTACTTAAAAACATGAACATGGTAGAATTAGATACACTCACAAAAGTTAATGGTAATCCTCACAACCAAAAAATGTTCTTCTCTAAACAAATTCTCCCAATCATGAGTCCAGATTGCATATTTTCTGTGCCCAACCCAGGATAGCTGCATTTCTAGAAATTTTTTGTTGGACTGAATTAGAGTTTAAGTATGCAATCTGCATGCTGCAATTCTTGTGAGCTCCTGAAATTGAATGCTTTCTTTCAAAACCTTTGTATGCCACGTGATTCTGTCACAATACTAATATCAAATTCAGCTTTTAAACATTACTGCCACAAATTTATTACCAAATTCTGCATAGATAAACTGCATGTATTGTCCAATAATTAAAATATGCTGATTTATTTCCAGTGACAGTCATGCAAATTGTGTCACATGTTGGGAAGATATCCTGTAGATGGATTAAAAATTCAATTATTAGTGAGTTACTGTAATTTGTTTACCTCTTGTAACTTTCATCCAGGGAAGCTCTGTAGTTGACACTGGATAGTTCAACTGTTCTGTGATATCCTGAGTATTTCTTGCAACAGTAGACTGAAGAATAATGGGTGGTGGCATTGCAGGTGCACTTGTCCTTGCAGTCTCTTTAAGACTTGTCACTGGTCGAACTGACACTACTGCAGGTTTCCTTGTGAGCTGGATTACTTTAGGATATTTCTGAGTTACTGGAGTTGTTTTAGGAGTTGTGGAAGATTGTTTTGGCACAAATTCAGTTGCAGAAGTTACACTTGAGTTCCTAGGAATGGAAACTGTTAGAATTTTTAATGCTGTGATAGCAGTAAACAGTGCTTTACTACTTAAAATATTTACTGATTTAGTAACAGCAGTTTTATTTAATTCTGACACAGCCTGATCTATCCTTTGTGTATCAGTATGAGAGCTAATTGCAAAATGTGGTGTGACAGAGGTGGTTGTTGGTTTCACTGAAGTAAATTGTACTGCTGGTTTATCATAATGAGAAATTACTAACGGTTTCTTTGTTGGTCGTTGTAAGATTAAAGGTGTAGGATCTGTTGGGATAGGGATGCGTTTATTTAACTCTGTTGTTGAACTCTGATATCCTTTTAATCCATCTAGTGTCCAGGGTGACTGAGTAGGTTTGTAAGTCACAACAGGCACTGTTGGATTTTCTAGGGGCTTTAGCAGTTTTGAAGTCATTTCAAAAGTGTACGTATTGGTGCTTACAGATGTTGTTGCCAATTGTACTGATGGGAATGGTGGAAGTGGGGGTAAAGGTGGAGGGGTATGATATGGACGGCTTACAATTGCAGGTTTAGTTACTTTCTGTATCTCTGTTGGTGCCACTGAAACAAAATAAATATTTTACATAACATAGATACAAGTGAATCTCAAGTGAACAGTGGATTTTTTAATTTAATTTAATTCAATTTAATTTGATTTATTCTTATATTCAAGTAGATCCAGTTACAGGGCGAGAAACTAGTTGACACACCACTGGATACAGAATGCGTCAAAAATCAAAACAAATGTTCCAACCAACCACTGGAACAAGTCAAAATAACATAATATAAAACATAGACAACACAGTCACTAAACATAATAAAATGTGACTACAAAAAGACTTCAATACTAGATGAAAACATATTAACCATTTATCTTATAAAATTCATCCAGTTTATAAAAACAATGCATATGAAAGGATATTATCAATAAACAAATAGACAAATGAATGAAAGAATTAAGAATAAATAAAAAAATTGAAGAACAAGCAAGTAAGTAAACAATTTTAAGACATAAATAAATGAACAATTTTATATATATATATGTGTGTGTTACAGTGGTGTACTAGAAGCTGGGACTTACCTAGCATGCAGTATGAGGCATAGTCAGGACAGCACGTGGCAGTTTGCAGACACCCCAAATGACATTCACACTCTGCAAATATAGGTGTCTCAGATGCTGAGGCTGTGGTATGAGTACCTGCAAACTGTTCAATTGTGCACCGTAATCTGCAGCTTTGTGTGCTGTCATAGATCTCATTGCTACCACCATCTGCAAAAACCCATAAAAGAAGTTTAAAGATTGGTACAAAATTAATAAAAATAAAATGATACATTTTATTATGAAAATTATTGCCTTATGAACCCTAAATATTTGGAGTTATGTGATAGGACTGCTTATGGGTTTTATTATTCTAAAGAATTATAATATGCTGAGAGGGGGCACACGGTAATGTAGTTGGTTGAGGCACTATGCTACAAGTCAGAAAGTTGTGGGTTCATATCCTGATGAGGTTATTCGATTTTTCAATTGACCTAACCCTTCCAGTCGCAGTATGGCCCTAGTGTCGACTCAGCCTCTAACAGAAATGAGTACCAGGAATCTTCCTGGCGGCTAAAGGGCGACCAGTGCATAAGGCTGACAACCTCACCGCCATCTATGAGCCAATTGTCTAGAAAATGTGGGAGCCTTGATGTCTCACAACCCAATGGACCTACACGGCCTATTACAGGGATAGCTTTATACCTTTACCTTTACCTAACGTGCTAAGATTTTCATGATGTTTTGTTTAAATAGTTTATGGAAATGTAGCATATTGACTGATAGCTGAAAGGAAATAAGTGGATTAACCTTTAAGAGCCTAGCGACGCCATATGACGTCATTAAAATAAAGTCAAGGGGACGAATGACGCCATATGTCGTCGCGAAGTCCACGCGTGCAGCTGGCTTTTTAAAATCTAATTTTAAGTTATAAATTCTTTTTCTACTTACATGATTTTTGGTCACCAGCTTTATAAGTTGTCTCTCTTCCCACCTGCGCCGTCTAACGGAATGTTGGCTTCGTGTGGAAATCTTGGAAACATCCGGAAATCCAGAGTCCGACGTCACACTTCACGCACTTTGTCTGGACGGTTCTTCGTTTCCCACGTGAAAAGCACACATGACACCTCAATTGCGAAGTAGAGGAAGTCGGCCAGTGATGTGGTTTGGCCTCCTATAATCGAGATATCTCCGATAAAACGGCAGGGGTTCGACCCCTGGGCCGTTAATGGCGAGGTGGACCCCTTCCAGCATGTTCCGCACAAGAGCGAGACAAAATTCTCTGTGTGACAACAGGATGTAACTGTTCTGATCCAGGAGATGGAAAAATAGTTTATTTGTCCATTTCCAGGTTTGACGACAGATGCTATAACTGTTTGCCACAGTTTGCCCACAGCTCCACCTGAATAATTATTCACACTTCTCTTGCCATGCTGGTGTGGTGGTCCCCAGGTTGCCGACCAAGACGATGGTTCTTCGTCGAAATCAACCACCAGTGATGTGGTTTGACCTCCTCTAATTGAGATATCTCCAACAAAACGGCAGGGTTTCGACCCCTGGGCCGTTAATGGCGAGGTGGACCCCTTCCAGCATGTTCCGCACAAGAGCGAGACGAAATTCTCTGTGTGACAACAGGATGTAACTGTTCAGATCCAGGAGATGGAAAAATAGTTTATTTGTCCATTTCCAGGTTCGATGACAGATGCTATAACTGTTTGCCACAGTTTGCCCACAGCTCCACCTGAATAATTATTCACACTCCTCTTGCCATGCTGGTGTGGTGGTCCCCAGGTTGCCGACCAAGACGATGGTTCTTCGTCGAAATCAACCTCTGATTCACTTTCCTCAACGCCACTCTCAGAATTGTCGGTACAACAATCTGATTCCGAGTCGTTTATGAGTTGAAATATGTCAGCGTCTTCCAAACGAGACAGCACAATGGTTGGTTCACGCTTTTGACACTGCTTGGCTGTGGTATTAGGATGCTAACCATGAAAGTACTTATAATCTACTTCCAGCAGAGTGAGAACAGAGAGCTTGTTGTGTTGCGACAAGCGATAATAAACAATCAGGGTTCTTGTATACGAATACATACCCACCCCACATCTCTGCATACTGAAAGAACATACGTGTATAATCTTTCGAGACATGCAAGACTAAACATGGCTACATAAACCATCCGCTGTGTTGCAACATCTACATACAGCATTCTTAGTTCCAAGAACTCTGAATTCTTGTAGACAGATGACAAATTTGGGAATTTTTTCTTTGGAATCAGTCTAAAAATTTTTACACATTTTATAAAAAAAGTAAATTACAATATCTGATTCTATATTCTTTCTAGAAAAAAAACAGCGTTTATTTGGTTCGTTTATCACAAAAATTGTAGAAATCACAGCAATTTTAGGAAATGATTACAGTTTTTATTGCTTTCAAATTGCGGGTATTTAAATCAAATCCGTCCCGCTGCCATTACCGGAATTTAAAGGGCCATCACTTAAAGGTTAAAACAACACTTATGCTAGCACTTTTAGGTGGAAACATGAATTCAGTGAGATAGATTTGGTGACGGTATATCCTACACCTGCAAATTTTTAATGAAATATGCTTTACGAGTAACAACTTATAAACATGGTAGCAACACAGATTTGGAGATATGCCTCATATATTTACAGCAATGGAAATCCATAATAGCAGATATAATGTATAGAGTCATACTGGGTCATATATTTATTAACTTATAATTTTCAGTATACTCTATGTAAATACCGGAGAATTTCTGAGAAGCAAGCATAATGTCCTTTCTGATTTTGTATCCCATCTTCTTCTTCTGATGACACTATTGTGTTCATCTTTTAAATATGACTCCACTATATACTGTGTGATGACTCTTCATTAGGATGATAATAACAGACAACAACCTTAGATTCTAACAGTGGGTGCCAATCTTAGGCAGCAGTTATCAGTGTCCTCTTCCAAATATACTAACAACCAATGACACATTTATGGTTTATGACTTTTGGATCACTTAAATCTCTTTTAACCCGCTGACTGTGAAGACCCATCATAGAACTACCTGCTAGAAATTCCATGGCTGCTGGGAGTAAAAGCAGTTACACAGAAAAGCCCACATTACTTCTTCAAATGACAGCATGCATAGATCATGTAATAGCATGTTCTTTTCTCTAAATATCAATATGTCACATTTGATTCCATATATTAATAGAAATACTGTATTAATTGACTAATAACAAACAAATCTCATGGCTGTGGCAGTACACTGATTCCATCTGATCAGCTTGTTGTGAGAAAAGGGTCAGTGAAGTTGGTCTTGTTGAGACATAAAATTTAAAGTTTTTTATAAATGTTGTACAACATCTATAACCACTGTTGAGGCCATGATTGATTTCATTGGGATATTTGGCATTAAAATTATATGCTGGGAAATTTACAAAATGAGGCATAAAGGCAAAGCAGACTGCAGATAGAGCTGATAAAGAAACTGTTACTGGAAGGGAAGAAATAAAATATTTTGACTGCAATCTTTTTTCAAGCTACACAAGAAATATGGATGACATGATTTAGAAAAGCAAAAGTATAAGTATTACAATGTAATATGTTCAAAAAATTTACTGAATGTATATTTTTTCCATTTTTAAATAAATGTTTGTATTTTATATCAACTTTCCACCCAACCAGTATGTACTGTGCATGGAAACAAATAGCATGGTTACAGGTAAAATTTAATAAAGGAGATAATAGGTTAACATTTTATTGAGTAAAAATAAGAAAAGGACATTTATGTATATGGATATCACCAAGAAGCACAACAGTCTGAGGAAAATAAATGGTTGCATCTATACATGTGTTCTATGCATTCAAACTAAAAAAACATTGTGAAAAGTCATTCAAATTACTCATAAAATACAAATAATATGACATATCATTCTGCCATGTTGGAAGGTTTTTGACCTACCATTAAGAAAGATATATGCAGTATAAAATTAGCATCAATGTAATGGATGAGTATTAAATGAAACAAAAATCAGTGCTTCCTTCATAATGAATTGGTTAAGTGGTAACTGTCTGACACCTAAATTCTGGGACCCATCATATTTTTTTGAGTGACGGATGTGTTGAAATTTAACTATAAAATAAGTGATGAATATTCATAACAACAAACATAAACATTCGTGCAAATGCAGCAATCTTTTTTAAAGTAATGCATTTCTTGTGTTGATTATTTAAAACTAAAAGAAATTTAAATTAATAGGTCTACTGTTACAGAGAAGAAATTGATTTAAATAGCATGGGAAAGGAGTATATTGACAGTATGAATGCCTTAGTTACAGGAATGAAGAACAGCCTGACAGAAGCTTCTGCTGCAAGGATATGGCTAATCTCCTGGAAAACATGCTTATCTGCAGAAGAAACCTGACATATTCAATTCAATTAAATCAAATCCAATTCAGTTTGTGTTTATTTACATGCAAACTTAACATCAGAGAAGCCAATTACAAAGTTAGCATGAGTTCACAGAAATACACAAAAATAAAGAACAAAATACAAAATATGACAGCCTATATAATAATAAGGGGGCACGCGGTAGCAAAGTTGGTTGAGGCACTATGCTACAAGTCAGAAGGTCACGGGTTCTAGTCCTGATGAGGTCATTGGATTTTTTTCAATTGAAAATGCACTATGGCCCCGGGGTTGACTCAGCCTCTAACAGAAATGAGTACCAGGAATATTGTTGGAATACTCTTGGGCGTAAAGTGTAGGGCTGACAACCTTGTTACCATCTAGGAGCAGACTGTCTAGAAAATGCGGGAATCTCAACATCTCACAACCCTATGGGCCTCCATAGCCTGTTACAGATACCTTTACTTTTTTAATAACAATAAATTAATAATAATTCCAAGAAAAATTGAAGTTAGCGTTAACAGGCGAGAAAAATAAAATAAGCACACTTCCAATGGTTATACCATTTTGTGGCAAGAAAGGACAATACACATACATGCACACATAGAAGTTAATAACAATAACTCAATTAATTCATTTTAAAATATAAATATAGTAATGAAGATGGAACAGTATTCAAGCTGTTTATTCATATAAGAAATATATCTGTTCAAATGACTCACTTTGATTGACAGACTCTCTAAGGGAAGGTGCATTTGTCACTATTGCCAGACATTCACTCCCATTTGCAATCTTCACATCATCAATTGCAGTATCACTGACATATCCAGCTCCTCGAACTGCCTCTATAATAATCTGTGCACACAATATATGTACATATGAAATTTATATTTCATTGTACTTAAACATTTTTAATATTGTAGCAATTGCTACATGACACACTGTGTTCATATTGGCAATAACAGATGCATAATGGAGAAAACAGTGAAGTGTAAGGCAGAGTGAATGTGAAAGCAACCCTGGCCCATTACAATGTTCCTGAAGTGATGAGTTAACAGATTAATTGTGTCAGTATGGCTCAAATAGAGCCAAGATGGCGCAGTCAGTATAGCGACTGGCTACAGGCTGGACAATCAAGGGGTCGGAGTTCGAGTCCCAGTGGAGGCAAGAATTTTCAATCAATTCAATTCAAATAAATTAAACTCTACTAAGGATTATGTGAGCCTCAGATTAGAGTTTCAGAAGCAGACTCTTTGGTCAATCTACCTGAAAAGATTCATTCGTGCTTGGAAGCAAAACAATACCCTGATACCATTGGTTTCCCTGTTCTCCAGACTTGGTGAATCTTGGCAACAATGAACCACCAAATTCAGTGTTTTCAGGCTTCATGTACACATGCAATGAGCCTGTAAACAAAAACAGAATAAGACAATGATTAAATTTACATCAAGAACTGGTAACTATAATTAAGATCTGATGAATTTTACAATAAGTGGTAAAATATACAATTTTTATCAGATAAAGCAGAGTCATGCCATCTAAAAGAACTTTTACAATGATTCCCAGAATAACATATCATATTTGGACTAACACATCTGTGTCATACTATGAAACAACTTTTCTTTCATTATTGTTCTTTCCTTTTTTTTTTTCTTTTTGTCTTATCTTTTCTCAAAGAGAACAAATAATCTTTGTGCCTCTAACCATACAAGTAAGAATAAGTAGGAGAATCTAAAAAGAAAGAATATTTTAAAGAAATGACAGCATAGTAGAATTAGCAAAGAGACAATATGAAGAAGTATCTATTCCATAGCAGCTTCAGTAACACAATACTTTCCATGACTGTGGAGTTATTCTCAGAAACTGTCAGATATATTTGCTCACCATAAATCACACTGAATAAAAAATAAAACAGAGAATCACCACATATACTTATGCATGTGCACAAACATTCATGCATACAAACACACAAACAGACAGATCAGGATGTTTAGCAAAATACAGGATAATCAATTGCAAGGAGGAAACATTGATAGAAAGATAGTAATTAGTGAAGAAGTAAGCTCAAAACTACAAAACTTAATATCTTGGTTTTTTAAAGCGGTCTGAATGTCTTAATTAAAAGATGGATCAGGATTTATACTAGACTTCGAAAGATTGTTCAAGTATGTAAGATACCTGTTGTAGCACCATACATATGGTACCAGAAGATAAAACAAGATGGCTGACTTGAAGTCAACTGTGAGCCATACACAGGAGAATAAAGGCGTGCTGTATCATTCTCCATGCGATGACTTGATGATCCTATGAACATGTAGTATCCTGCACAGAAACAACACAGGTAGGTTATAATATCTTCTTTATACACTTTTCTGAAAGTTAAACACTTTACTGAAGAGCATTGTCTCCTGGGATACAATGACATATAATCTGGTAGAAATTTATTGATATCTCAGAGTAATGTGCTGCCTCCATTTCAGGTTCAAAATGTAGGCTGTGCAAGCATGCAGCAAACAAAATAAACCTATCAGTTTAATCCTGAAGACAGAGGCAGTACATTTCTGTGACATGTTGGTGAGCCTCCACCAGCCTACAGGGGGTCAAATTCCAGATGACATTACTCCTAATATTCATCAACATGAAAAACTCCAGTTTCACAAAGAACTTCAATGCTTAGGCTCTTAAGGTATCTCACATATGACCTCAGGATAAATACTGATTCATATTCTATTTGTTTACACCACACACACCTTCATTTGAGTGTCTCCACCTTTGCATACTGCAATTGACTCAAATTTACCTGTAATTACTTATGATTAGCCTTTTTTAAACATATTCACTGCCATATGGACTGTGGATTTTAATTTGTTTTGTTACCATTACTGCATGACACCAACATATTCTTGTCAGTCTACTGGAGCTTTCAGTTTGTTTTACAGGTATTTAAAAATAAATCATACTTTTGTATATGAAAGTGGAAGCTTTAAATGTTCAGCAGCATGTTGATATTATGACATGAGGGCTGACTGTGTCAGAATAGTGGACCAGGAAGAAATTAACATTACTGGGCAACAGCTTGGTAAACAAACTCCTGCAGCAACAGATATGCATACAACAAGGAAAACTGTTTTCTATGCGGTCCATGCTGAGGCTACATAATGGGGACCAACAGGTTAGTGACCTGGATGCCATGGTAGTGCAAATATACTCGTGTTGAAACTATAGTGTAAGAAACATAGTGCCTACATACCACCTCTGCCTGGCCCCAGAGTGTGATCAAATGAGGGGCCAGTGTCAACACTTCCTGAGAGCGCCTGGAAATTCTGTCTGCTCCAGTCAAAGTTGTGATGTGGATCCTGGGTCCAACCACACAGATCTTGTGACTCAAAGTCACACCAAGTCTGAGCAATCTTCTCAGATGCTGTTACATAGAAGTATAAATAAGGTTCCCATAATTGCAGGCATATGAACAGGAAGACAAACAGAATACTATTATGATACAACTGCCACGGTATGATTCCATTTACAGAGGATAAAGATGGTCATACACCAGATCTCATGCCCATTCTGGCACAGTTTTAGATATTCTTTAGCCCTTTACATCATCCTCTGAATAACACACTATGTGACCTGGCGATCATATTTCAATGATCATATGATTAATTACCTAAAAAGGGTAGAATCAAGAGTTATGTTTGGTAACTATTTGTTCTTTCATGCTACCCATGAGACAGACTAATTTCAGACAGAATATGTTAATATCAGAAGCATTACAAAATAATTCCTTATTTTATATTTTCAAAACATGAGAATTTATAAATGTAATTCAAGGCAAAAAAGGACGTGAACATAAAGTGCTAAGTATTCTATATCTCAGAATGTAGACAGTGTATGAAGAATCAACTTCATTCTATAGGTGTTATTATCAAGGAAAGCATTCCCAGTTCCCGTTTTCAAGGAGTCCTGGTGGGCACCACAGTTACTTTAGGACATGATCTTAAATAAAAAATATCCAAGTGCCAATGTGTGATGTTTCTAAACAGTTTTAAAAATGGCATTTGCAAGTTCTTGCAGAAAATCCTTCAATTTCAAAGGAGAAATCCTTTGCATTCCCAGTTCCCATTTTCAAGGAGTCCTGGTGGGCATTACAGCTACTTAAGGACATGATCTTGAATATAAAATATCGAAGAGCCAATGTGTGATGTTTCTAAACAGTTTTAAAAATAGCATTTGCTAGTTCTTGCAGAAAATCCTTCAATTTCAAAGGAGAAATCCTAGTATCATATAAAATATGAAGTCCATATATTTCATTCTAATCTTAACAGTAATAATAGAAAAACTCCTGTATTGATAAAAAAATAAGACTTCATATTTAAGTATTCTTTCTAGAAGAATGTGCTTTAAGTTCTTCATGACAGTTTTCCTTCTAAATCACGTCTAGTATCATGTAAATTGTATAAAATTACAGCCAGAGATTGATTTTAAAATATTACAAAATGTGTGGCCACATTGCCTCAAATATACACATATTATAGCATTGATCTGTAGCTATATATCATACTTGTGCAACAAAATTACTATTTTTCAAGAGCTGAAAAAGTTTTTAAGAATATTTTCTTTGAAAGTTCTCATCATTATTTGAAGTTCAAAATAGACATCACCTTTACACTCAGGAATGGTGCCGTTCCACACAGCTCCATTACAATACATGATTGATGATCCAAACAAAGAGTATCCTGGATTACACAGGAACTTGACAACTGCCCCCCTATAGCTTTCGACTACCTGTCCATTTTTCAGGTATGGCAATGAGACACAACCCGATTCTGTAAACAAAGAATTTCTGTACATTACATTACATTACATTACATGGTATTCTCTGGATCCAAAAGTAGCTAAAGTGACTGTAGGATGAGGAATATGTCACATAAAAACAAAAACATGTGTATTGTACAACTGAAGTTTTCACGTAAGAAAACCCAAGAGAAAACAGAAATTACATACAAGGCTATTAAAAAAGGCACACACGCACATACACACAAAAGAGTGTCAACTTATGCTATTTACCCAACCTTTAAATGGACATTAACATTTCACTGTTTAGAAGAGGAAAATGTTTCATGAAGGTCTAAAGACTTACAATATTTACAGCTTTCTTGATGGAAGTTATAATAATGGAATGAAAGATCTGAATGCAAATACAACAGTAACATCAAATGAGTTTATAGTGCCAACTTACTCTCATGTTAGAAGCCTCCGTAGTCTAGAGGTATTGTTCCCACCTCATGACTCGTGGTACGCGGGTTCAAACCCGGCGGAGGTCGTGGAATTTTTAAGGGCAGAAAAATTCAAGGAACAAGTCCTCCGGGAGGGACTTTAAGCCGTGGGTCCCGTGTCGTAGCTTTACAGCATGTAAAAGAATGTCATATCTCCAAAGGAGGTCACTGAGCCAAATTTAAGGACGTTTCCCGCCCAACAGTAGTCCCTAACGCCTCTGATAGATGGGGGAAGCATTATAGATACCGCCAAGCCAGTAGAGGCCGAACTCGCTGGCTCAGTCGGGACTGATGGTACGCACCAATATCGGTAGGGTATAGAGACTGGTAGAATATCATAGAGGGAAGCACAATGGACCAATACTGGTCTAAGTGCATGGGGAAACCCACCCTCTCCAATAACTAACTAACTACTCTCATGTTTTACCCATGACACAGTGTAGTATAGTTCCAGAACAGAATAACTGACACATGCTTAAGAAGTAGCTTCTTTGAATCTGAGTTGGTGTTGGCTTCAATTAGTACCTTCATGCAAAAAGGGGTACAACAATTTCCTTTCCCAATCACAACTACTGCATTAATATCCTGTAATTAACTCATTTCTTATTTGGTGTCATATGTTGACCATTCTCAGACGGCCCTTTAACCAGTGTTTCCATTATTAAAACTTCTATATCTGCAGATGGACAGAGTGAAGGCCAAGGTACAGTTTGGGATGTATAATGTTTAATGGAATGGATCATGTGATTTCAAAGATCAGATCCAATGTCATGTGCTTAAGCTACAATTTGTTTGTTTTTTTTCTGTTCATACTGTTCTTTCCATTTACATATTCATTGCCATAACTCTTCACTCATGTTTACCATTCCCGATTAACATACTTGTAATATTCAACAGGTTAGCTCCCATGGGCTTCCTCAAATAATGCTTGTGTAGTCCAGTCTGGATAGTAATTGCATGTGTCTAAGTGTATATAAGAAATAAGCATTTTGTGAAGAATTTTCTTTCCCAGATAAAAAAAAAGATATGAAGAGATAAAACAAAGCCCTTCCTACTGGGAATGGAAATAGTGCCATAATAAAATAATACTTTAAAAATTCTTCACTTACTAACACAGATAGGGATTGTATCCCACACCCCACGCAGACATGTTGCATACTTTTCCCCCAGCAGCTGGAATGTTTGATTACATCTGAATTTGGCAGTGCGACCCCTGGACATCACTCGTACTTGGCCATTCAACAGGGTAGGTCGTGGGCATCTCTTCATGCTTATTACTGCTGCAAATTCAAAACAATCCCCTCATTAAAACTTACACGTTCACTTAGCGGCCTCCGTAGTCTAGGAGTAACGTTCCCACCTCATGACTCAAGGTACACGGGTTCAAACCCGGCGGAGGTCATGGAATTTTTAAGGGCGGAAAAATTTAGGGAACAAGTCACTTTAAGCCTTGGATCCTGTGTCGTAGATTTATGGCATGTAAAAGAACCTCATGTCTCTAGGAGACCTCTGAGCTAAATTTGGCCAAAAAGTTTCCCGCTCAAAGTAGTTTCCAATGCCTCCGGTAGATGGGGGAAGTATTAGGTACCACTGCCAGAGGAGGGGGGACCTCTCTGACAGAAAGGGACTAACTATTAGATACCACTGCCAGTAGAAGGTTGGAACCTCGCTGGCAGAAAGGGTTGATAGTAAGCACCAGTACCGGTAGGGTATGGAGACAGTAGAAATTAAAAGGGGGACGCACAATGGACCAATAACTGGTCTAAGTGCATGGGGAAACCCACCCCCTCAATACTGAATACACGTTCACTTCTTATTCCTTGTCTCCCATGGGAAGCTTGACATTATTTTTTTCCCATTCTACACAAGTTCGTTTTTTAACTATTTAGCATGGAGTGCTGAGCATTGCCTGAATGACACAAATTTTCAAGACATAAAGAGTGATAATTTGGTATCAGTAACTAGATTATTATATGATCTAAACATTACTAAATGTCTGAGGGCTACTGATTCTCTCCTTTGTAGTTCACAATGTCAAGTTCAATTTCTAGTGAGTCATTTATTGTGACCTTGGCAGTATAAAAATATGCTCAGATACACCAAAAAAAGAACACGAATACTTCAAAGGCTACTGTTGGATACATTATCAATATTTTTCAACTACAAATGTAACAAATATTTAACACCTGACCAGTTAGCTGAATAAGTAGAAGGGGAAAGAGAATCCCAAGGGAATGAGCTCCAGCAGATTATGATTCAAGAAAAATCGCTTATGAAATAAAAGTGTCTTGAACGTTGAATTACACATATTTACAGTAACTCAGCTATTGGTTACCAATTACTCTGCCACAATTCAACAGTCAGAAATGTTCATGGGCTGCAGAATTTCATTTCTGGAAGAACATCAGTGAATAAAAACAATCACACCAATAAAATAATTTATTCTAACAACACCTCATAAGCACCTCTATCAACATCATTCCCTACATCAGATGTAGCTGGAGTTTCATTTTTGAGTAATCCAATTTAAAACTTTGCTGATGATGCCGAACATACTGATACACGTCTGAGAATCACAAGGCGTAATGTTAGATGTAATAATACATGGAACAGAAACACAATTGGAGAGGCGAATCTCTGATGTAAAACATTTACATGTTATATATATATATATATAAAATGCTGCATGGCAGTTAAAAGTTAAAGAATACCTTATACCTTCCATTTAGTTGACAACAGAATAAAATATTAAAAAAACACTTACCTGAAGTGATGTGAATCGAGATGAAAAGTGCTAAGAATACACATGATGCACCACACAGTTTCATTTTGCACAAGTATGACAAAAAATAACTAGTTATTCCAGATAACACAACTGATTGTACACACTATTACTTTTAGAGCATTTCACACCTCTTTTTTTCTTTTTAGCAAAAAAATCACATCAAACTCAACTGTTTAGAAGTATATAAATGTGTACATCTTAATTTAAAATATAAAGAAAATGTTAGTGTACTATTAACCGTGCCTGATGTAACTATAACATCAAAACAAATTAATTGTTAAGTAAATTATTAAGTACTTTAGAATGATCCAGAAACATTCTTAATTTATACATATATATAAGCGAGGGCAGATATTCTTCTGAGTTGATTTTCAATAAATTTTGTACAAGTTTTAGAATATCATTGTAACACATGCTATGGAAGCTGATTAATAACTGGAAGTGTGCTAAATATATCTCAGCTACTGTGAATGGTTGAGTGTCATAACTGGGGGTAGATACAGATTCTGTGCACAGGAAGTTCCAGTAGTAGGCTGACATCTGCTTCCTGCATTTTCATGATTGTTGTGACATTTATTTACACAGACCTAGAAACGTTTCTGATTTCTCCTTTCCACTTATGACTTGGTATGGTGGACTGCCCATCACATGGTTTTGTTCATTCCCTTCATGTGTTTAATGGAACATTTTTTCTTGTACTAACTGAATAGAGATATCTGGGGGGGGGGAATAGGTCTTACATGTTAAAGTTAGAAATAGTGGACTTGTAGTTTCTGTAGGAACAGAGAGTATAAAGCATTTTCATGTTACATATGATAATCATGGCTACAGAACTCAACTTACTTGTGAAACTTATATTTGAAAACACATTAAAAATAAAATACAGGTACAATACAACAGACCATTGTCATGCTACGTCAGAGTTTTGTGAAAAAAAAAGTAAGTAAAGGTATCCCTGTAACAGGCCATGGTGGCCCATAGGGTTGTGAGATGTTGAGGTCCCCACATTTTCTAGACAATCGGCTCATAGATGGTGGCAAGGTTGTCAGCCTTACATGCCAGCTGTCCGTTAACCCCAAGAATATTCCTAGAGGCTGAGCTGACCACAGGGCGAGTGTGGCTGGAAGGATTAGGTCAATTGAAAAATCCAATGACCTCATCAGGATTTTAACCCGCGACCTTCCAGTCTGTAGCATAGTGCCTCAACCAACTATGCTACCGTGTGCCAACAAGCTAACATAAATGAAAGGACACTTAATGTATTTGGCCTTATAACTAACAGAAAAATGTCACATGTACCTTAACAATTTTATAAGGATGCTAAATTCTGCCATTAATAATGCTGCATAATTTGAACTTCACAAGTTACCCAATAGTCATTATAATAAAGGCTAGCAGAGATGAACACATTTAAAACAATTAAAATATGACAATATTAATGAACATGTTCTGGATGCTGGAGCATACAGACAAGAGGAGGAAAATGTTGAAGGTCGACATACACTGGCATATTTCATCAATTCCAGATTGAGTTTTCTCAAAATATTCAAGTAGCAATGATTAGTGTATTAACTCATTAACATTTCTATACAATTTTATATTCAGTGGATTGCAATAAAACACACCACATCTACGTATCAGTTTAGGTTCTCACAATGGTGGTTATGAAGAGTACTATTGTCTGGGATATAACATCATGTAGACCGCTGAGAGTCAACTGACGTGTCAGAGGAACATATCGCCTCCATCTTCAAGGTCGAATAAGCTGAGCAAGATATCAGCATGAAAGCCGGTGGCAATGCCTCCTGCTTTCACACTGGTATTTTGTTCAGCTTGGCTGCACTATAGCTCAAGCGGTTAGTCACTGGCTTCCCACCTCGGCTGTCCGGGTTCGATCCCGCATCTGATCAAGTGGGATTTGTGGTGGACAAAGTGGCGCTGGGGAAGGTTTTCTCAGAGTACTTCGGTTTCCCCTGCCAATCTTCATTCCACCAAATTCTCCATCATCATAATCACCTGGGGCAGGCTACAATAGGCCAATCAGTGGCCGCCATGCCGAGTGGACCCAGTTGGACTCCACACCCTCACTAAGTGCATTAAAAAATTGTTCAGCTTGCCACCTGCTGTCACGTTGGTATCTTGCTCAGCTTGCCATCTGCTTTCATGCTGGTATCTTGCTCAGCTTGCCACCTGCTGTCACGTTGGTATCTTGCTCAGCTTGCCATCTGCTTTCATGCTGGTATCTTGCTCAGCTTGCCACCTGCTGTCACGTTGGTATCTTGCTCAGCTTGCCATCTGCTTTCATGCTGGTATCTTGCTCAGCTTGCCACCTGCTGTCACGTTGGTATCTTGCTCAGCTTGCCATCTGCTTTCATGCTGGTATCTTGCTCAGCTTGCCACCTGCTGTCACGTTGGTATCTTGCTCAGCTTGCCATCTGCTTTCATGCTGGTATCTTGCTCAGCTTGCCACCTGCTGTCACGTTGGTATCTTGCTCAGCTTGCCATCTGCTTTCATGCTGGTATCTTGCTCAGCTTGCCACCTGCTGTCACGTTGGTATCTTGCTCAGCTTGCCATCTGCTTTCATGCTGGTATCTTGCTCAGCTTGCCACCTGCTGTCACGTTGGTATCTTGCTCAGCTTGCCATCTGCTTTCATGCTGGTATCTTGCTCAGCTTGCCACCTGCTGTCACGTTGGTATCTTGCTCAGCTTGCCATCTGCTTTCATGCTGGTATCTTGCTCGGCTTGCCACCTGCTTTCATGCTGGTATCTTGGTCAGCTCGCCACCTGCTTTCATGCTGGTATCTTGCTCAGCTTGCCATCTGCTGTCACGCTGGTATCTTGCTCAGCTTGTCATCTGATGACATGCTGGTATCTTGCTCAGCTTGCCACCTGCTGTCACGTTGGTATCTTGCTCAGCTTGCCACCTGCTTTCATGCTGGTACCTTGTTTGGTTTTCCACCTGGTTTCACGCTGGTATCTTGCTCAGCTTACTTGGCCCTGAAGATGGAGGCCACATGTTTCTCCGAAACGCTGGTTGACTTTCAATAACTACATGGGGTTATATCCAAAAAGACAGTAGTCTTCATATACCACACTGATGTCAATTCATATCCAGAAACATGATATTTATTATAAATTTATATGAAAGTCTTTTATGCAATTTATCATGCTCTGGAAAGATTAAGGGATAGTATAACAAAGAATAAACATGGAAACCAGCTGTTTTGTTAGGGTATTTGGTTGTAATGTTCTTTGCTTATATCCTAAACTTTTATTTTGGGGCATATGGCAGACACCAGATATCAGGAGAGTTAAGAGGTACAATGAGAGGACGATGATATGATATATTTTAACGTACTATCCCAGCTAGCATTCACTTCAGTGGCTGAGAAAGCCATGCAAATTGTCTTGTTTGCCTGGTAATGTGATATAATTCAAACATTTTGATAATGTTAGGTGGGATGTCAAGGATCAATATGCTCTTCAGTTAAAGTAGTAAGCAATGAATAATACCAAGTGTGGATGTGTGCCACATATAAAAATACCTGCCTGTAATTAGGAACTAAAGGTAAATAAATGTTAAAAACATCACAAAAATTTCAAAATTTGTTTCAGACGTGCTTCATTTCAGTTATAGAAGAGAATGTTGAACGTAAGATCACAGACAATGATTGCAGAATGTGTGACAATATAGCACCATGGAGTTGCCTGATCAGCTTTACCATTCATGGTCATGTCCTTGCATGTTTCCTGTTTGTAAGTCAAAGATAAGTCTCAGAGGGTGACCCAACACAGGAAGTTCACAGACTATCTTAGAGCAGACAATCTGCAACCTACCCTGTTATCTCAGTCTGCAGTAAACATGTTAGTTCATAAAACTTCACTTTCAATTTCAGCCAGTTATTAGTTCAATTGTTTTATATATAATTAAATAATACATTCAAATCATTTACCATTAGCCCATTCTCCTAAATGGAAACATAATACATGATTTCTCTGTCTGTGTCCCTCCAATTAACATCTGAAACCAGCCTCTTATCTTCCCAAAAGAAAGTGGCTGGTGCATGAAGTCGACCACTCACCCCCCTCTAGTGCTAAGGTTAAGAATGTGTGGAACTATACTGCCATTCCCATGTCATCATGGTGTAGGGCTTAGCTAAGCACTTGGACAACTACATCTTTTACTAGTGACACAAATCATACATATTTTTCCAATTGGATAGGAATCTACAGGATGAACCAGCTATTCTACCTTCTATGATTTAGAGCTCTAGAGCTAAATGTAAATCCTAATATCCTACATTGTAGGGTATAAATCTGAAGAAGTAATTGATTTTGGTTCGTGTTACGATGCTCTCAGTATCTCCGACCATATAGCATCCATGGCAGGATGACTGGTTAATAATAAATTGGAAAGGATTTAAAAGGAAGCAATTATGACCTAATAAAGGTACAATCCTAGCATTTACCTGGAAAGACTGAGGAAAACCATGAAAACCTACCAGGATAGCCTGTGTTTCAGCCAAGATTCAAATTCACCACCTCCTCAATACAAGTAAAAAAAGAAACAGCAGCATTATAAATGATGTTGGATTTGGCAGCTATGAAGAGTTAAATCTTCCGGGTTGTAGTATGGAGAAAGCCAATGACCTTCTGGATGAACATATTTCCTCCACCATCAGGATTCAAGAGCAGGCAGCAGGAGAAAGGTGTATGGGGAAAAACAAAGGATTATATAGAAGAGTATTGAGGCCAACCAGTCAATTTCTACTGGCTCTGAGAAAGAGAGTGCACCAATAATAGGAGATGACAGAATAGTAACTAGGTTGGGCCCTGAAGAGTCATTAGTGCAGATATGGAAACACAGGGGAGAGATGTCCTAAGTGTGCATGGTGGGCAGAGAACCAAAGAGGGTAGGCATGGGTTATAGGCATACAGTGGGGGTTAAGATGAGGAAGAACAGAGGCAGTAATCCAGGAGAGGACCAAAAGGTTCAGGGTTGATGTGACAGCATCCTGATATTATAATTGAAGGCCAACCTGGAATAAGGCAGGAGAGTGATTGAATCTGGCTTGTCTTTGTGTGGAGCAACCTTCATAGGAGGGTTGAAAGCACTGTGAATCTACTGACTGTTGTACTCATTCTGTCTGAAAGTGTAATTCCTGTTCAGCCCTGAAAATGCAGGTGATATATGCCTCTGAAACGTCAGTTGACTTCCACTGGACTACACAGTATTATATTCCAAATGACATAACTCTTTGAAGTTATAAATGTTGGACATGAAAAATATGGGGCCAAAATAAAATAAACTGCAGTTACAGGGGTCATCTCTGTATGCATCGTTATAAGAACACTTACTTTCACCAAAACAACTATCATCTTTATTATGTATGAACCTTGTACACAAGTGAATATGCTCTAATTCAAACTTGTTTGGCACAGGCACATAAGAATACTGTATGTCACACTTAATGACATCCACATTCTCACACTTGTCCACTACAAGTAGGCATGTGACATTAACATTTCCTTTTCAAGATTTAATACAAACTTGTCTTCAGAATCTGGTAAGTTGCCATAAACTAGAATTAAAACTGACAATTGAGATGTAACAAATAATGAACATCTTCATTACCTTAGTTGGTGCTTTCAGGTTGTCCAAAGCAGAAATACTAAGTACAGTAAGTATAAGAGACACACCCACAGAC